AACGTCGTAGTGTGGCTGTTATGTTTTTTTTTCGGGTTGCTGATCACGAATATCATGTTATTTGTGATGACAGATGATATCTTCATGCATTTAGGCCAGGTCGGGTCAGGTCAGGTCAGGTCAACCAGTAGGGGTCCTGCCGGGTATTCGTAGTACGTGTCAAAAGCCTCTGACAGCTTCGTAACATATTATGAAGGCACCAAAACTACTTCGTAAATGCTCAAATGGTTGCCTAATTCGAATTCAGCTAAAAAAACTAGCCTAGAAACATATAAAACTGGAAAAAGTGAACCGAGGTCATCAAAGGTCAATAACCTGACCTGACCTTCAGGTGACCTTGACATCCAACCTAATGCATGAGACCAACATGATATCACATGTTTGAAAGCCTGAAACCACGAAAAGACTGCAAACGCTCGGCTAATGCGAGCCGAAGTAGGCCGAATTGCGATTCCGGCTAAACCTGGTCTCGAAAAGTAACTCACAGGTCAAAGGTCATTTGGGTTAGGGTCATGAAATTTTCAGGGTAGGTGTACAATTGATTAACTCGAAGGTACTGCAAGTTTCGTCGCTATCGGCCGCTTTCTACGCGATTTATTTGCGAAAAAAGAAACTTAGGGGTTTGCAATGCATCACCCTGCCCCCTGTGACGGCTAGGGTTATAGTTAGCGATGCTCGTGACGTCTATTTGTTCCAGATTACATGTACATTGTACATGCCTATTCACTCACGAGACAATTACTTTTTTACAAATACCGATTAAAACCCAATGCCGTGAGAGGGATGCTACCTGGGCTTATAGATGCAACAGCGAGTTAGAGCTCCTAATTTACAAGCCTCACCGGTCGGACCTTTATTTTTACATTTGCTTCTGGGTGGGCAAATCGACGCCACTGGGTGGGCAATTGTGGTGACTGGGTGGGCATTTGCCCACCCAGTGGGTATGTTAGAGGAGGCCCTGTTACTGTGCACAGCCATCGACATACCCGGCACTTTCGCTTCAAACTCCGTTGGGAAAGGCAGTATAGAATTACGCATTTTCGGTCTGAACATCAGCTCATTCTATTGGTAAGTTTATGAATTATTAACACTGTTACAATTGCCCCGTGTTACATTTGACCCCGCTCTCCCTGTATCAGCAGAAACCATTCAGATGGCAAGGAAAATGCCATGGGTTGATGTGTAGATGTATAAAGGAAACAAGAAGGAAAAAAGTCCGGAAAAGGGAGGAAAAATCTTTTCTCGCTGCCTCAATGTTGAGGGGGCGCCGCCCCCTCGGCTCTCAAGTTGGGGGGGGGGGGGCAAGCGCCCCCGCTGCCCCCCTGTTCCCGGGTCTATGCCACTGCCCCCCCCGTTCCCGCGCCTATGAATTAGAGAACACTCAAAACAATGCGCTCAAAGAATTGTAGGTAACAGTGGTGCCAGTAGGTACCAACTTTGGTTGTGGGTGCAGAGCCCCTTGGGGGGTGCCCAACTCAGCATTGGGGGTACCCAGGCACACCCAAAAGTATACAAATCGACACCTATGATGCGCCCAATCTTCAAGGGTGGCAGTCGAAATGACGTCATAGGGCCATAGATAGATGGGCGGGATGGAAATTGAAGGTTGGCATTTGGATATCCTTGAGGTTTTGCAAGCACATTTCGTGACAATAGTGGCGCAGACCGAGAGAGGGGGGAGTGTGGGGTATACATGAAATTTGCGTGCATTTTGTCAGTGATAAATGTTTTGCTTCATTACTTACGATTCATAAGGAGTAAATAAACACCGGAGTCATTCATATAACACCTGAATTACAGTTCAGTTGGGCAAACTAGACCTTTGGAATCAAAATATGGAGGCACCAAAAGATTGATTGAATGAGTTTATTTTTTGCTCCTTTTCGTTTATGTAGGTTTCCTAGCGGCTAGCTCTCCTAATTTGTGCAGATCCTAGGTACTAGGTAGAACAGAAGTTGCGTTTACATAGGATTCTGACGAGGCTCTAGCTTATTTATTTTGCGATAATTTCGATTATATTTAGAGGTGATCATTTTGTAAATTGTAAAATAGGTGCCAGTGGCATCTTTTGCAGCATAACAGGCAGAGCTGTAAACTTGCAACAATCCCTATGTAGGTAAACAAGGCTAGTGATAGTTGATACCTACTTGTACTGAGCTTTGTTTGGTCACTGTTTTTTACCAGCATGCTGTCAGTTTTTCGTATATAAGGAAGTCATTGCTGGCACTCCTTGGCCTCTCATTGGTCAAATGAAGAGACCACAGAAAGTTGACCAATGAGGAGCCAAAAAATAGCAGCACGCTCGCAACCTGTTTTGTTTTTATCACTCAATAAAATGAACTGAACTAAACTGAACTTAACTTGCTGATGAAAAATTTTGACTGAACGGCACCGGTGACTGGGTCATGTTGTTTTTAAAGGAAATGTCAGTTTCTTTTAATTTTTGTATTTAAATCACTAGTTAAAGTAACCAATAACTTTGTCCAGAAGATTTATTGCCATTAAAATTATGCTTTGAAAGGTACCTATAGGTATTTGATGTTCCGCACTTACCTTGAGGTTAAGGTAGGTTCCTAATTAGTGAGGCAATTTATTATTTGTTTGCTTGTGAATGATACCCTTTTCTAGGCATGTGCATGCTCTGAGAAAATGGATCTAGGATTGATCCCATGGATTCTGGTCTTGGATCTGACAGGATCATAGATCCAGCTCTTGGATTTGTTAGAAATCTGTAGGGATTATAGCATATGTCTAATTTTTGGTTAAGATCCATTGAGATCATAGATCCCCATTTATTTTTTGTCAACACAGAAATCCCCCAAAATCACTTGTTGCAACTCTCAAACTCTATTTAGTGATTTATGCGATTGTAGGTATGTCAAAAGCCAAAGCCATAGTTTTGTGGCACTTATTGACTTAGAAACACTTTGAAACCTGGTTTCAAATGTTGTGTATGGCGGGATCCACTCAAGTCAGATCATAGATCCTTGCTCTTGGTTTATCATCAGATGCTAAGATCATAGATCCATGATACATTTTAGAAACTGCCACACCAGATCCAGTGGGATCATAGCATAGATCCTAACCTGCAGTTTGCTCTGAATTCCACGGAAAACATAGATCCATTGCTTGGATCCATGCACATGTCTGCCCTTTTCACTAAGTATTGTTTACAAAACTTTAAAGGAAACAGTGACTTAGCATGTTTATGTTTCAATAACTCAGTGTTAGTATGAATAAACACTTTGAAAGGGCCATCCAGGTTCTGTTAAAAAAACCATTGATAGCAATTGTATGGTTACTTCTTGAGAGATCTGATCCCACATATATTGATATTACATTCCATTGGATCATATTAATACGTCAATTTATTCTTTGTTTATAAGTTTAATGGGATCATTAAAGGGACTATCCCACCTTCTAAAATGTTGTTAAAACCAGTTAAATTGTGCCCGACTTTATAGATTGGATGACCAGGAACACGGTTCTGGCATTTATTTTTCATTAAACATCTTAGGCTTCCCATATTCCAAACGCGAACTTTCAAATATGTGACGTCACAGCCCAAAATTACCTCCTTCCCCAGGCCACATTACTGTCATAAAGCTGATTCTTTTTACTCTGTAGGCACCACAACAAAGTTCAGACCAAGTTTTAAGCGATTTTTCAACGAACAAACACATTTAAATCAGAATGACTAAACGAGGTGACGTCACACTAACGGTCGCTCTATGTTGAAGATAGGGCCTTGTACAAGGCCCATTTTCAAATGAAGGGAACGAATTTCTTCAACACCAAGAGGCCGCGGGGGTTGCAACCTAGATAGATAGTGGTTTCTGAACCTCGCCGCAAACTTGGCTATCCCAACTCAAACCCCATGTTAAAGGTGGGATAGTCCCTTTAACCCGCGCCGGGCCGGTACTCTGCGACTAACGCGCCGGGCGGGGGAGGGGGGGGGGAGTCTGAAGTCTGAACACTCCCCGTCTAACTCGGCTCCTGGGCCACGTAGCGACACGTGGAAAGCGGCATTCGAAAGAGCGTCGGAATTTTGTCGGAAATATTTCATGGTCCTTTTTTTGGTCAGGTCATAGGTCAGGTCACTAGAGGTCATCATAGGTCAAATTTATTCCATTTCAACAATTTTGGAAACTGCCAATGGCTAACTCGGGAACCAATGGAGCTACAGCGCCGCGGAAAAGCGCATTCGATAGCCCTTTTACAGACTTCTCTGGGTATTGTTCTCAGATTTGACCTCAGGTCAAGGGTTTAGTCTCCAGAGGGCAAACACTCCCAAAATAGCAGTTTTTAAATTAAAAAAAAAACATTTTTTCTGCAATAACTTTTGACTCAAGACAGTGACGACATTTATTTTGCTAGCATCGTGTTCCTCTCATCGAGACGCGTCGAATGAACATCTAAAAGGTCTTGATTTCATATATGTAAAGGTCACTGTAACGTAAGGTAACGTAATGGTATTGAGTATCTGTATTGAGTTCCAGCAGAGCACTCAAGTTGAACGAATAAGGGCAAGGCTCATCTCCTAAACACGGAGCGGTCACTCCGACCAGCTCAGTACACAACAAAACCATAACAACAACATGGCGCTCTCCAGCCAACAACAGCTAGCTCCCTTGTGCTGCCATCTAGGGGCAGCATCAAACACATGTACGGTGCATTTAAGATACGCACGACACATCTCCTCTTCTCATCAGAACAATCAATCGCGGCAACACTCGAAGCAACATCACACTGCACCATATCGCGGCACGCGCGCAACATACGATGCACTCAGCGGAGGCACGCGCAATGTACGGTGCATTTAAGATACGCACGACGCATCTCCTCTTCTCATCAGAACAATCCAATAACACCAATAACACCGATTGAGCCCAATAACACCAATACCTGGTGTATTAGACAAAACGGGGACACAAGTTACCACACGCATATACTACAAGTCAGATGTAGGGGCGCCGAGTCACGATCTCACCGGACAGAGGCTATCGCGGCACATAATCGGCCAAGTAGGCCGGGGGCCGGGAGACGCGCCCCGATCGGCGGAGGGAACTGCGATAGTCACCGGGGTCCAGTGCCGGGGCCGGGGGTACTGGGGCCGGGGAGTCGGAGCCCAGAGAGCTGCGCCGCGCAGAGGGCGGTGAGGACATCGGCGAATCGGTCCCACGGGGCATATACGAAGGCGGCTCAGAGACGGGCCGGTCCGGCGGAGAAACGGGCGGCTCCTCAACCACCAGCGGGGGCGGCGGAGGCGGGTCACTGGTGCTCAGTAACTGACGGCGGTTGCGGCGATACGTAACGCCGTCGACCCGGACCCAGTAGGAGCGGGGGCCTGCGTCGCGAAGGCATATGCCAGGGGACCACGTAATCTGACCGGGAAGACGCATCCGAATCGACTGGCCGGGAATCAGGGGAGGCAGAGGTCGAGCCTTTCTGTCGTAGTACGAAGCCTGACGGGCCTTCTGACGCGCGAGGGCCTCCGGCACGTCGGAGGGGTGGCACGGGAGGAGGGTGGACCGGAGGGCCGGTAGGAACGTGCGACAGGCGCGACCGAACAGTTTTTGTGCCGGTGAGACAGACATCCCCTCACTGGGGGTGTTGCGCCACATGAGTAGCGCCCAAAGTGGATTTTTGCCATCTTCTATAGCCTTGCGCATAAGGTTTTTCACGGTTCTAACAGAATTTTCTGCTTTGCCGTTCGACTGGGGATAGCGCGGACTACTGGTCTTGTGCTGAATGTCCAGCTCCTTAGTGAATAACCGAAACTCGTCACTGCTGAAAGGGGGTCCGTTATCACTGATAAGGGTCTCTGGTAGGCCGTACCGAGCAAACTGAGAGGTCAGGGCAGATATCACATGTGCGGCCGTGAAGCGGCTGAGGGGCTCGACCTCCACAAAATTCGTAAAATAGTCCACAATCAGCAGGTACGTCTCTCCACGAAGGTCGAACAAATCCATGGCCACTTTTTCCCAAGGCCGACTCGGTATCTCGTGCGGGGACAGAGGTTCTGGTGGCTGCGAGGGCCGGTATGCCAGGCAAACCGGACACCGGAGGACCGCCTCTTTAATCATGGCTGTCATCCCGACCCAGAACACATTCTGTCGCGCCAGCCGGAGGATTGAGGCGACCCCGATGTGGGTGCTGTGAAGTCTGGTAATGATGTCCCGCTGCTGAGACGAGGGTATCACCAGACACCGTCCCTTATATAGCAGGCCGTCTTCCGAGGCCAACTCCCCACGGAGGTGGTGGAAGGGCCTTAGACTGGCCGGCAGGCGGCGCCGGTCATCCGGCCATCCCAGCTGCAGCTGTCGGATGACCGTCGTCAGAACAGGGTCCGCCTCAGTGGCGGCCCGAATCGCCTCCAGCCGCTGCGGAGACACAGAAATGCCATCAACGAGGCGAAGTGACGAGGTCTCCACAGCGAACGCGGCTTGCGGCGTTTTGACTGGGGCTCGGCTCAGGGCATCGGCTACAGGGACCTGTGAGCCGGGACGATACACAATTTTAAAATCGTACCGTTGGAGCTGAAGCAGCATCCGCTGAAGACGCAGCGGGGCATCACACAGGGGTTTTGCCATGATCGGCACCAGCGGTTTGTGATCTGTCTCCACAGTCACGTGCCGGCCATACACATACTGATCGAGCCGCGTCAACGCAAAACTGATCGCCAGTAGTTCTTTTTCCAGCTGGGAGTACGCGATTTCACATGCCGTGAGTGAGCGGGAACAATATGTGACAGGCTGTCCCCCCTGAAGCAGGACGGCGCCGAGGCCATAGCTCGAGGCATCGCACTGGACGGTAGCCGGTGACCGCGGATCGTAGAATTTCAGAACTGGCGCGCTCGTCAGCAGCGTTTTGACCCGGTCAAATGCGCTTTGACACACGTGGGACCACGACCACTCGTTGCGCGACTGTGTCAGCGCGCGGAGCGGCGCCAGGAGGTGGGAGACGTTCGGAATATAGCGGGAGAGAAAACTGACCATGCCTAGAAACCGTTTCAGACTGGGCACGTCAGTGGGGACTGGGTACTCGTGAACAGCCGCGACTTTCGCCGGATCTGGCCGCATGCCTCCCTCGGAGGTCAGGACATGACCCATCCACTTGATCTCCGGGACCTTGTAGCGGAATTTGTCCGGGTTGAGCACCAAGTTCCTGGATCGAGCGCGATCGAGGAACGCACAGAGATTTCGATCGTGATCATCCTCCGCCTCAGACATGGACGCCCCCCTGCCTACAACCACTACATCATCGGCGATAACCTCTACACCGCGTAGACCACTAACTAGATCATTGATGACTCGCTGCCAGATTTCAGGGCTCGAAGTAACACCATACGGCAGGCGCTTCCACACGTACCGGCCGAAGGGTGTGTGGAAGCAACACAAACGCGCTGACGCCTCCGACAATCCGATCTGCCAGAAGGCGTTTGCGGCATCCAACACGCTATACACTTTAGCATCACTCATACGCGCGGTTATCTCGTCAACAGTCGGGGTTGGATAGTGCTCCCGGCGCACCGCCTTGTTTAGATGGCGGGGGTCGATGCAGAGTCGGATGTCACCTGACGGCTTATCTACGATCACGGGGTGGGAAACCCAGTCAGTGGGTTCAACGATCGGTGACACGACGCCAAGAGCCTCGAGCTCGTCCAACTTCCGTTTCAGTTTGTCCCTCACGTGAATACGGACCCTGCGAGGAGCGTCGACCACGGGGACCGCAGAGGGATCGGTGACAATCTCGTAGTCTTTCAAAATCAGACCCACCCTGCTTGTATCAAACACATCCCGATACTGGTCGATAATTCGTGACCGGCCAGTGGGCGGAGGGGCGGGGGTCGGTGCCCGTGACCGGCTGTTAGGTGAGTGGTACACATACTCCAACGGGTCACTGTCTTTGACGTCGATCAGCCCTAGACGGAGCGATGTCTTTAGACTAAGGATCGGCGCGATAGCCGCCTTGACTACTTTACATTGTAGCGTACAGTTGTGCCCCGTCATAGGGTTACTAAGTTCAAGATTCACTTTTCCATCCGTGTACACGAGTCCCCCGTCATACATGCGGAGTGCCGTCGAGCACGGCCTCAGCCGCTCACCCTGCTCGTCACCCGTCAGCCGCACATAGTCAGCACGTGTAATGACGTCACATTCAGCACCGGAGTCGATTAAAAATGTTACCGGCACTCCACCCGCAGTGAAAAGTGTTTTGTGGGCCTTACTTGGAAAACCTTCGGTCGTCATGATGTCGAACTCAGCCTCCGGGCTGACGTTGGCTGGCGGTGATACCTCCGGCTGTACCGCCGCCGCCGCCGGCCGACTCGCCGGCCGACTCGCCGGCCGCCGTCCCTGCGCGGCGGCTGGAGCCGGCCGCCAGTCAGCTGATCGGCGCGCCGTCGGCTGAGCGCTGCCGCCGGCTGGGCGGCGCGGGCGCGGCTCAGCGGCGCGCCCCGGGCACTGCTGGCTGCCGGCGAAGTGGTTCGTGCCTTGGCACACTGCACACGTTTTGCCCCACGCTGGGCAATACTTTCGAGCCATCTGGTGAGATTGGCAGCAGAAGCGACACTGTCGGGCCACCATAGATGCAGCTACTCCACTCTCAGTCGGCGGCCGCTGCTCGTCTCCGGCGCTGATCAACTTGGAGTCACGGCTGGCCGCTTCTTCGGCAAGTGCGATGTCAATCGCCTGTGTGAGCGAGAGGCCAGACTTCTTCAGAAGGGCCTGCTGTGTGCGGGAGTCCCTCACACCCATCACAACGCGGTCCCGTAGCATATTGTCGCGATCCGGGAACTCGCATGTTGCAGCCATGGTCCTCAAAGCTGCCACGAATTGCAGGATGGGCTCGCCCGGCCCTTGGGTTCGATTATAAAACTTGAATCGTTCCATGACGATATTTTGCCGTGGGATGCAAAACGCATCGAAGCGCTCCAGTAGCGTTTCAAGGTCGCCATTTGTCTCTTCCCAGTCGGGAAAATGCGACGCAACTTCCTGAGCCCCACGTCCTGCGCAGTTAAAGGGACCCTCCCACCTTCAAAAAAGTAAATGAATTGGCATGAAAGTGATGTCGCTCGGTTCAGAAAGAGTAAAAACGAATATCTACCAAATTTCATCGAAAAATATTCACCGGTTTTCAAAGTATTAGACTTTTACTTTTGTTTACTTTTGGGATCTCCGCTGTTCCTATAGCGACTTTATTTGAAAGTGCGGCATTTGTTGCGCGCAAAGCAGCATATACCACCGCGTGCTACAAAACGTTTTAGTCAAACATTTAAAAATCGTTAGATATCTGCGCTGACGTCACACATTCACAGGGGTATTCCTATGCATTAGCCCCTCTGAATCAAAATGCTGCAATTTTGAAATTCAATATTTCCGATTTAAGGCATTTCTCGATGTCGTGAGTGCCGAAACCGGTAATTGTGAGCCAGGGACCCCATTTTGGCTATCTCAACTCAAATCTAATGTTAAGGTGGGAGGGTCCCTTTAAAGAACGTAGCCACCTGTACCAGTGGCGGTTTTGTTATCAGTTCGGATGCCACTGCATAATATTTCCATTCTCTTCGCCACTGTCGCCATTCGGAACCCAGTGTCGGCGACGCCATGTTTATTTCTGGTGGGGGGCGAAAGTTCGTCGCCATCTTCTGACACCATTACGTGTCTTAGGAACAAGTAGCGGCGCGGAAACTACTTTCAGGTGTGAGGGCACACCTGATGCTTCCCGGGACCTAGGTTACCCCCAAATCTAGTTTTCCCACCAGTTTTAGGTCACTTATTTTAAACCCCTTGGCCTTTTAAACGAAACGAACAGAACGAGAACATCTGCAAAAAGTGAGGTATTTCGTCTCAGCTGAGTCAAGGAAATACCTTTTTTGGTAATATGGTATAAAGCTTAAAACTTGCCCAGTGAGCTGTCGAACCAGGGAAAGAGGGATATTTTTTAGTTTAACGTGCTCTACCATTCAGTTTTCTTTTTTTGACACACATCCTCTAATTTAGGGAGGATAAGCTGCCCCGACGGCTTCTGGCCCTACAAAAAGTCGTGGGGCAGCGGCCCCACGCCCCTCCCCCCCTCAGTTCCCGCGCCTATGGGATTAAGTGTTGTAATGTTCATTGCTCATTTACTTTTATGTGACGTGATAATAGAGATCTTGGAAATTCTTCTAGATTTTTTTTTGCCACATCTCTTGCAGTTTTCATGGATCTGAGACATATCCTCCATATATGATTCAAGTGAATTACATATTGTAACCATGGGTGGAGAACCTACCCCGGCCACCCCGGCCGTGGCCGGGGTAACTTTCAGCCGACCCCAGCGCGGCCGGGGTAACTTTTTCCACTTTTGTAAATCCTAAAAGCTGTCTCGATACGAAAAAACTGCCATCTATAAAAGTGTCTCTCATTATTCTTATCAACCTTGAAAAGTTCTTGAAAATTTACTTTATTTTCATTTTGGAGCTTCTCTGTTTTTAAGTCTTTTCATCGCGGAGCCCGACATGTTTCATCAAACAGAAGTAAATCATATTTAAGGGCCGTTATCGTAAGATGGCACTGTAATAACATCACAAGACAGAACGAGGGTAATATCAGTGAGATAGAAGGACGAGCTGCTGGGGCTCAAGGCTCCTCCAACTTAACCCGCGCCAGGGTGGTGGCCTAATCGTAACACGTTGAGTCGAGAGGTGGGCTTTTCACATTCCTTCTAACTCGGCTACTGGGCTACGAGGCGAGAAGCGGAACGACGTTTGAAAGAGCGACAAATGTGACCAGAGAAATCTGGTCATGTTTTAGGCAAGCTCAATTACAAAATCATCATAGATCATCAAAAGCCAAATTTCTCTGATTTTAGCGTTCTCCGACAACTTTTCTCACAGTTCATGAACATAACGGAGCTTAAACACTGCAAACAAAACATTCGATTCATTCAAAACAAAACATTCATTCATTCATTCGATTACTACGTCGGCTCGGTCGCGAATAATATTTCAGGTGCGAGCTCAAATCAATAAGAGGGTCAAAACGGTCAAATTTGACATTTTGTTTTGTGTGGGAAGGTTGCAACTTCCACGGAATAAGCTTTGCAAAGGGCATGATGGCATTTTTAGCACGATCATCCAGCAAATTTGACCTGATGACCTGACCTAGCACTAGGTGACATGCGTCCGAAATTTTAAGGCGTGTTGCAAAATTGTTGTTACAATTGCGAAATCTTCCGCACCTGCGTGCAGCAGTTTTCCCTAAAAACGTACGCAGACATCCATTAGTCTATGCCACAGAATAGGGGTTTGTTGATAACCGTTGACAAATATTTGAGCATCATCGTCTTTCTGACTTTCGGTCGCCGGCCGGGGTAACTTTTTCAAACATTCTCCACCCGTGATTGTAACTCTGATTTGCAGCTTGCTTTGAGATGCACTATGATCATAGATCCAATGCTGAAGTTTATTTATATGTCGGCCAACGTTGAATGTCTTTGTTTATCACTGGTCATGGCTTTTTCATTGCTCTTGAAATTCAAGCAAAATCCATTTTATATTTTTCCAAAATAGTTTATTATGCACAAATATGATAACACTGAAACACTTAGCTCTGAACAGTGCTATTTCATGATTGAATATGACCTATGTTGAGATACCCTATCGTGGTTTGTGTCAAAACATTATAATTTGGTATCAATAACTGAATGGCACACCAAAATGAATTAATTTCAAGGAAGAAATGAAACAAATGAATGGTCAAATTCTTAAATGCTCCTTAATTTCTGCTATTTCTTTCAGCTTCTTAATTTGTAATGTACCAAGTTGTCTTAGTGCTCACTTTAATCCAGTAGCTGGTATTTACATTTTATAGAGGCAATAATTGCAGCTGTAACACTGAGCTGTGAAGTGTTTCAATGCTCAATGCTCACTGACTAGGTACTGATTCTTGAGATGTCTACTTCGATTACTTATCGTTGACTTGGTGAATACTGAATTATCAAAAAATATGCTAAACAAGTATGTGCAAACAGGTACAATGAAAATTAACAAAACGTCACTGTTTGCTCGTAAAAGAATATATCAGCGTGTGAATCTGACATGGGTACACATACATATGTGTGTGTGACATTATTGCAGCACTAGCACAGTCTGCAGGCAGGAGGTTTACAAATCAAATATTATATTTCTGATGAAAGAATATAATGCGTGTTGGTTTGTTGCGGGGGCTACTAATGATACTTTTTCATCATTTCAGATAAGTTCAAATTGTGATAACCATGGCACAAGTTCTGACGCGTCTTGGTCAGCTGGGACTGGGTATCGCCATCACAGGAGGCGTCATCAACTCGGCGCTCTACAATGTGGACGCCGGTCACCGGGCCGTCATCTTTGACCGGTTTTCCGGCATCAAAAACACCGTCGTCGGCGAGGGCACCCACTTCTTCATCCCATGGGTGCAGAAGCCCATCATGTTCGACATCCGCGCGCGGCCGCGGAACGTGCCCGTGGTGACGGGCAGCAAGGACCTGCAGAACGTCAGCATCACTCTCCGCGTGCTGTTCCGGCCGGTGGCCACCGCGCTGCCCAACATCTACACCACACTCGGCGAGGACTACGACGAGCGCGTGCTGCCCTCCATCACCAACGAGGTGCTGAAGGCGGTGGTGGCCCGCTACGACGCCAGCGAGATGATCACGCAGCGCGAGGTGGTCTCGCAGACGGTCTCCGAGGAACTGACCGATCGGGCGCGTCAGTTCGGCCTGCTGCTGGACGACATATCGATCACGCACCTGATGTTCGGCCGCGAATTCATGCAGGCCGTCGAGATGAAGCAGGTGGCGCAGCAGGAGGCCGAGCGCGCTCGGTTCGTGGTGGAAAAGGTACGTTGAAGCGTGAGCTACTGCCTAACCGTTACCTCAAGTCTTGGCGTGCAAGAAGTACCTAACCCTTGCATTGCTTTTCAGTTACTTATATTTATAAGTGGTTTTGTCCTATAACATATTTTGTTTTACGTCGATAAAGGTAGGTATGTGTCTCTGACTCAATACCTTTGTCCGTTGCCGCCATATACATAATTCCTATTGGCGAACCCTCACAGTGCTGTCACCAATAACGTTGACCCCTGTTCGGCCTCTGACCGGTTATTGGTGCTGTGCAGGCGGAGCAGCAGAAGCGGGCGGCCATCACCTCGGCCGAGGGAGACAAGGTGGCCGCCGAGCTGCTCTCGGCCGCGTTCGCGCGCGCCGGTAACGGTCTGATCGAGCTGCGACGGATCGAAGCTGCCGAGGACATCGCCTACCAGATGTCGCAGAGCAGGAACGTCATCTATCTGCCGCAGAACCAGACCACCCTTCTCAACTTGGGCAACGTCTGAGCGGCGGGATAGTCGCCGCCGGCAACCTCCGCCTGCAGTCTGGTTTGGCTGCCGTCTGAGGTCCGACCCGGTTGCTGTCTGAGGTCCGACTCGCAAAGGCTTTTTGGCCCCGATGCAAGGGTTTCCGTGAATACCTACTGATGCATGGCAGTTAGAACTAGACTGAGGACGTTAGTTTACGACCATATGAGTGTGTGCGGTCGGGTCGTGCAGTGTGTGGCGCCGTGATAGTGAACCATGGGTCTGGCCTACCTATGTCTGCAATTTTCCGACCCGGTCATAATGGAGAGTGAATGCTTTTGCCTTTTTGATGCGCGAAGACGCGCAAAGGACTGCAGCTGGTGACTGTGGTGAAATATACAATGCCTCCATGTCTGAACGCTGTTTGACTATTATTCAGTGAAACTGTTGGGTGAGGAAGAGGATCGCTGAATTTCAGTGAAGTGTGTTACTTGTGG